TGGAACCGGTTCCAAAAAGGCACTGTAGATTTGTGGAACCTCCTATAGAAGAGGTTAGAACTGGCAGGAACCCACCCCTGGTCATACGTATCCCCCAGGTAGGCCCATCATAATTCCAAATGGTTGCTAAGCAACCCATCATAAGTCGAGGGACTACCTGTATGGCACCATATACTATTGTTATAGGTGACTTTAACACATCTTTCCAGAGGTTCTAAAAGGTCATTCTCAAAAAAAAAATCAAACTAAGGTAAGATTAATAATATTTCTGATCTAGAGCAACTTATGAACTTCCTAGGCCAATGATGGTGAACCTTTTTGGTACAGAATCCACAAGTCATCTTAATGCCCAAAAGGGAGCAAGTGCGCACAGGGAAAAGGGAGCACTTCGCGCGCACAGACTAGCTGCCATAACCAGGAAAAGGAGCTACCCAGAGGGAATGCGCAGGCTGGGAAATGAATTTCCGGTTTCGAGCGGACGCATACGTGCTGGCCAACAAATCTTCCAGTTACTGTCGTGCATGCATGCGCACCAATCAGCTGACTGGTACGCATGCTCATACCAAAAAATGGGAGACTAGTTCTTCTGGTTTCTGACCCTGCTGCACGCAGAAAGGCCAGCTGTTTGCCACGTGTGCGTGCGCGCCAGAAACCCAGAAAAAGAATGGGCAATGCCGCATGTGCCAGGAGACATAACTCCATGTGCCATTTCAGCCACACCTGCCATAGGTTCCCCATCACAGTCCTAGGTGCTTGTCAAGCTGTTCATCTCCTCAGAGTTCCTGTTTGATACAGTATTCCAGGGTAGGTACTGATTAAGCTTGTACGTCCCTAAATCATGATTAGCTTAACCATCATCGACAAAATCACATTGGTCTGGCTTCCGATTTATGCTAAATATAAATCACTATATGCAAACTCCAAGCAGGCAAATTCGCTCATTATATTAAACCCAAAACGAGTAAGCCATGATGGCTTAGCTTGTTCTATGAACCAGGCCCCAAAGAGCTCCACTGTCTGAAGGCCTGGAAAGATGACAAGTTTCAAATTACCTGCCCAATGAAATCTCTCGGGTTATTTTGCTATTCAGCTTTAACACTGAATGAAATAAACTAACTTTGTATATTAGAGCCAGTTTGGTCTCACGTAGAAATGGCTAACCTTTTCGGCAGAGTGCCGAAAGTGCACGTACGCACATGCACGCCCATAATGCAATGCACACCCAAACCCGTGTGTGCTCCCCTCCCAGCGCATACGTCTCCTTCATGTGCCCCCCCCCGCACATGCGCAGCAGAGACCGGAAAACCAGCTGGCTGGTGGGAGGCGTGTACACATGCGCGGCGGAGCCAAGCTGGGGCGAAGGCTTGCATGCCCACAGAGGGCTATGAGTGCCACCTGTTGTTGTCACATAACTCCTTGTGTAGGTGTGCCGGTCACCCATGGCCCAGTGCATAACAGGGCATGCGCAGCCATGCTGAACCACAGGAGAAAACAAACTCCTAAAGAACATAACATCCTGATAGTACTCCATAACATCCTGATAGCCTGATAGTGCATAACATAACATCCTGATAGTACATAACATAACATCCTGACAGTTCACTCTAGACGTGCCTTACCCAACGACCCCAGGATTTGACCATATATAGACAGAACTTCCCTGAGCAGTAGATTAGCAATTGTAGTTTTACAGGCTGTCTTTAATCACATGCTATTGCTCCTCCTGCCTTTGTCCTATCTCAATAAAAGGGGCTACCAGACTCCATTCTGGGTTGCTCCATCCTGAGAAAGATCATGTCCGTGTCTTTTCTCCACATTGGCCTCATGGACGAACCACGGGTACATCACATTTGGTAGCAGAGGATGGTTACTTCGCAACCTGTGAAACACGTGCCATAGGTTCGCCATCATGGGCCTAGTGGTTAAACCACCAGGCCAAAAACCAGGAGGCTGTGGTTCTAGTTCTGCCTTAGGCATAAAAGCCAGCTGGGTGATTTGGGGCCAATCACCCAGAGATTGAGAACCTTCTAGTCCTGCCTTAGAGATGAAAGCAGGCCAGTTGCCTTTGGCACGAGTCCAATGCACCTCACAGAGTTATTATGGGGAAAACAGGAAGAGGGAGAAATATTGTCTCTATTCACCACCTTGAATTATTTATAAAAAATAATAAAGATGGGATATTAAATAAATTACCATCACCTTGCGTCTTTTGAGTGCTGAAGGATCCAGCCACACATCACAGGAGTCCTGCTGTTTCCTAATAGCGCTTCTGCCTTTCCTCTTCATTTTCTGCCTTCGGGACTACATGAAACCGTATCCTTTCGCCTGAGAACAAAGAGAAGATGCAAATCAGGGAACTCCTCAAAACGTATCAACGCTTGGAAGGACGTTGTGAACAAAATGGAAGGATCCCAAGTGACTAACGCTTGTAATGCAGAACTGCCCAAGAATGCTAAACCAATTTGTAATTGCAACTTCCTCGTAAGCCTTTGAGTGCACCCGGATTAAGGTTCCCTTTCCACAACTTGGTTACCAAATCACATGGCCACCAAATTAACTCACCCGTTTCCACATATACCCAATCATAAAGTAATCAAGACTGACTGCAATGTCACACACACCAATTAAAAATTGTAAAACTGAAGGTGAGCCAGTTTCTCAACCTTGACAACTTTAAGGGGTGTGGACTCCAATTCCTAGAATTCCCCAGTCAGCCTTACTCCAATTGTAATTTATTCTTAAAATAGGATAGAAAGGCTCATGGCAAGAAACTCCAGGCATCCAAACAACTAAAAGGTCAAGGCTGTGTGTTAATTCTGTTTCCCACTTATTTCACAAAGTGGGCTGATTTATTTATCCCCCTCATTTATGCCACGTTGTCTTTAGTTTTTGAAACATTTTACAGACTAAACCTTTTTTTTTAAAATGGCATCAATGTATACACAATTTATTGAGCTGGTATAGGTTCTCCTGCTTGAGCAGGCAGCTGGATTAGATCTCCAAAGTCCCTTCCAGCTCTGTTCTATTCTAAAGACTCCCTTGTGTTCAGCTCCATTCCAAACAACAATACTGACATGGTCAGTACTAGTTTTCCTGGCAGCAATATAGCACGTCCCACCTTCTTCATTTTTCAACTCCCAAAATACTGCACAGCCCTGGAATCTCCTGTTGGTCTCCTACCCAAACATTAACCAGGCCCAACAATGCTCAACTTTGGACAGCAGCCCCAAGGAAGCCTGCTTGGACATGTTTATTACACATTCACCCCACATCAGGAAAGGAGAGGCAGGCTGCACAAGTCCCAAACTTCTCCCGGAATTGCCCTCCTAAGGTGCTATGGATGCGCCTCCCCATCCAAAGGAACCTGCATGGTTGGGTGGGGAACCTTCTCAAAACAGAAGTCTGTAGAGATTCTCAGTCATCCAGGTCATGGTTGTCCCAAAGGTGCTTTTTTCAGGACTTTCTTGTTTTTTTCTTTTGAAGATGTTTCGCTTCTCATCCAAGAAGCTTCTTCAGTTCTGACAGCTCCCCACTATCCTGTCAGAGCCCGAAGAAGCTTCTTGGATGAGAAGTGAAACGTCTTCAAAAGAAAAAAAAACAAGGAAGTCCAGTTGTTTCATGAAAAAAGCACCTTTGACCATGACCTGGATGACTGAGAATCTCTACAGACTTTGAGCTATACAATTTGGGATGAACACCCTTGGAATGGTGTGGGAGTAGGAACGGATTTCCAGAGGGGAAAAATTGCAGACTACAGGAACCAGTAGCACCACTCAGGTGACCCTGAGGACACAGATAAGCCTCCAAGGGCTTCAAGGACCCTCTAAAAGGATGCAAATGACCAGCTATCTACAAGGAATATAAATCCTCCTATTCCCCACTGTCCTTTCAGAGCTGAAGAAGCTTCTTGGATGAGAAGCGAAACGTCTTCAAAGAGAAAGAAAAACAAGAAAAATCCAGTTGCCTCCTGAAAAAAGCACCTTTGGGACTTCTCAAGGCAGCAAATCTCAATTCCACGGGATCGGCACACACCCAGTGACCCTTGCAAAGGCTCTTCACTTTCATGCGTACTCCTAGGAGTAATTCCCTTGCAACCCTTATTAGGAGCCCTCTGCGGGAAACGAAGGGCTTGCGGGCATAGCTGCCTCTTACCAGCCTCCTCTTCCTTCAGGCGCGGCCGAAACAGGCGCCAAGCTCTCCAGTTCCTTGAATTCTACGAAGAGCCTTCCGGAATTCCAGTTTCGTATTTCCCGCCCCCCCCCCGGCCCCGGCCCCCAGTTAGGAACTGCCCAATGGCAGAAGCAAATGCCAATTCACCACGCCCCCCTCACGCCTTTCTGAGGGGCGGTGTCAGGCAGGGGCGGAGCCCGGCCTGGGATAGAGGTAGGTCCCGCTTGCGCATGCGCCGCTTCCTAAGTGGGGGGGGAAACGCTTGCAAAAGAGGCAATTGCGCCGACGTTCTACGTCGGCGGTGGATCCCGCGCAAGAGGACGGGTTTTTTTTGGCACCTGGCGACCTTGCCCGTGTTGCTCGGCTCCGTTGCAGCTGTCGCGGCATCCGATGCAAAAATAAAAAACCCGCCCTGCATGAAATCAGACCAAACCCTCGAAAGCATTTTACACCTGTACGCGTAATCCGTGTACACGTGTACGGGTCACCCGTTTAGGAATAAGCTAACTCGCCGGTTTCTTCAAAACGGAGATGAGCTGCAGGCCGTTATCCCTGCCAGCCCCTTGGTTTTCCAGCGATCTCCCCGGTTGGCTCCCCCGTCCCTGTTCTTCACACGGGGTGGCTGGGTTCACACGAGACGCTGAGTTTGCAAAATGTAGCGGCTGCCCAAGAGGTAACCCCGGACCTAGTTCTGACAACGGGTTGTTTTGAGCTGCGGTTCAGATTGGAGGGAACGTCTGTAGAGATTCTCAGTCACCCAGGTCAGGGTTGTCCCAAAGGTGTTTTTTTTTCAGAAGGCAACTTGACTTTGTTTTTTTCTTTTGTTCGCTTCTCATCCAAGAAGCTTCTTCGGCTCTGACAGGATAGTGGGGGGCTGTCGGAGTTGAAAAAGCTTCTTGCATTAGGTCTTCAGAAGAAAAAACAAGAAAGCCCAGTTGCCTCCTGAAAAAACGCACCTTTGGGACATTTGAGGAAATGAATTAGTTCGGTAACCTGATTGAGCAAGTTGTATGAAGGCAACTGGTATTGGAGCTTTGAGCATTCAAGATTGTCCCTTGGCCATCTTCCTTGGTTGACCTGTTTTATCTATACCCAATGACATTGGATGTATGCGTGTGTTAATTCTGTTTCCCACTTATTTTACAAAGTGGGCTGATGTATTTATCCCACTCTTCATTTATGCCATGTTGCCTTTAGTTTTTGAAACATTTTACAAACCAAAACGTTGTTTTTAATGATATCAATGTATATACAATGTATTGAGATGGTATAGGTTCTCCTGCTTCAGAAGGGGGCTGGACTAGAAGACCTCCAAGGTCCCTTCCAGCTCTATTCTAAATTCTAAATTCTAAATTATGCACTCCCAGCTCCCTCTTCCAGGTGCTTAAGCTGCAGTTTTATAAAAATAGTCCTTGACTTACAACCATTTGTTTAGTGACCATTTGAAGTTACAACAGCATTGAAAAAAGTGACTTACGAGTGGTGGGATTCAAATGATTTAACAACCAGTTCTCTGCCCTAATGATTTCTTCCAACAACCAGTTCACCAAATTGCTCAGAAGGTTAACAACCGNTATCGATTTTAACTTCTGTAATAGTGTAATAACAGTTGTACTAACACTTGTAATAATATTAATTGTTCATATCACCATTAAATTTACATTGTGGTCAATACTTTAAGTTTGATAGTAATTAGTAACTTTGGTTAATTTTTATTCAATACTAGTTTAGGGGGGAAAACCCACAAACAAAGACTTCCATTTCCTGTTTTGGCTTCTTTTTTCTAGCCACTTATAAATTCCATTCCATAGAGAAAAAAGATTTTTCTTATTCTACAAAAGAATTTTATTTCCAGTGGGAAGAAACTACAGGTAGTCCTCGACGTACGACCACAAGTGAGCCCAAAATGTATGCCACTAAGTGAGAAATTTGTTCAGTGAGTTTTGCCCACTCTTATGGTTTTTTTCTTCTTACCACATTTGTTAAGGGAATCATGTCCGCTGTTAAATTAGTAACACCATTGTTAAGTGAATCTAACTTCACCATTGACTTTCCATGGCAGAAGGTCACAAAAGGTGATCACGTGACTCCGGGATTCTGCAACCGTCATAAATATGAACCTGTTGTCAAGCGTCTGAATGCAAATCGCATGACCATGGGGAGGCCGCAAAAGTCATAAGCAGTGGTGGGTTGCAGGCGATATGCCCCAGTATGGGCGTACCGGAGCTTGCCCAGAGCACTGGATACCATTCCGGTACAGTGCTCCAGAGGGCCCACCCTCCACCCGAGCTCCTTACCGGTCTTTTAAGTCCATGTACAGCGCGTGCACGATGCTCCGCTGAGCAGCTGGAGCATCGCAGAGGCTCACAGAGGCGCTAAGACTCATGCGCGTGCTGCGTGTATCCATGTGGACACTGCCGGACCCGTTCCAATCGTACCGGTTGGAATGGGATCCGGAACCCACCACTGGTCGTAAGTGTGAAAAGTGGTCATAAGTCACTTTTTTCAGTGCTGTGGTAGCTTTGAACAGACACTAAACGAACTGTTGTAAGTCAAGGACTACATGTATGTACTGTATCTGCTGAAATTCCCTGTTTGATTCATTCTACGTACTGGCTGGTCTCACATCCAACACCGAGTCCAAAATTTTTGAAAATCATTCTTTGTTGAATAAAACCATAGTGGAGTCATTCCCGTACAAGGTGATGCCCCTCGGATGACCTGTAGTACTGTAATAAAGGTTGGTTTTAATGGGAGGTCAGTGCGGCTGGGTCCATCTGTTGAACCAAAGAGAAATTATTGTGATATTTAACCCCAGAAGAACACCGTGGGAAGGAATTTGGGTACTCTCCCAGACATCCTCCCCATTAACTGCTACGTTTTCCAACAGGTTACACCAAGGAGCCCTGGAGGCCCTCTGGTTAGAAGGCAGCATTGCTGGCAAACTCTTCCCACAGCCAGGAGTTCGATCCTGACTGGCTCAAGGTTGACCCGTCCTTCCGAGGTGGGTAAAATGAGGGCCCAGATTGTTGGGGACAATATGCAAATTATGTTGACATTGTAAAACACACAGAGAGTGCTGCAATGCACTATGGGGCAATATATAAGTCTTAAGTGCTAGTATTAGTGCTGAAGGTGACATAGTGGTTAGAATC